TTAGCCCAGCTTTGAATGGGGGGGGGGGGGGTTGGGCAGGGGAGAATGGACTGCATGATTGCCAGAGACACCTTTCAATCTGATTTGTACTGTGGTTAAATCTCCCCCTTATCTGCCAACGTTTCATTTCCTTCTTACAGTACCTGACTTGTGCTTTCTAAAAGAATTAGCAAATACATGCAGGACTTGTAAGTAACTTCTACCACAAGTCCTATTGGAATACGATGGCACTGTGAAGACTGCCTACTGGAGATGATAAAGGAACTGGTGGTAGAAGGAAATGCTGAAGAGAAGGGATAGGTCATTTAGAAGCAATTTGATCAGGAAGAGGACAAAGCAAGGGGATCCAGGAAAGAAAGCAAAAAGAGGAGGCGCAGCATTTTCATTTTACTATAATTATTACCTTATTTTCTCTTTATATTTTAAAGCCTTTGGACAAACTACTCTTTTTTTGCCTTTGTTTCTTCTCTTTTTCTCTTCTTTCCCTCCCATTGGTGATAGTAGTTTGTGTTTCTGAATGTATAAAATTATTTGGTCTTAAAATTGTTTTGAGAAATAAAAAGGTGTTGTGGGATAAAAGAGTTGTGCCAGTGCTTATTTGCTAACTTAAATAAAAGCATTCAGAAGTATTTCTGATCTGTTGGGAAAGGCAGAGTTCGGTTTAGTCCTTAGAACTTTTTGAAACTTCAAAACTAAAACGAGCAGCTCAGCCTTGAAAAACTATTAGATTTTGACATTATCTTGATGCAGCTTAACTGTATCAGTTTTTTATTGCTTTATGGAAGTCATGTATGGACCCTTTCCAGTATGGTGTATTAGTCTAGCTTTGTTAAATAAAGTACTGTGTATTTGAATGTAAAACTTCATCTGCATCTAATCACAACTAATTATTTCTTCACAGCCTGAAACTACGCTCTCTTCGAGTGAATGTTGGACAACTTCTGGCTACAATCATGCCTGATCTAGATTTGCAGCAAGTAAATTACGATATTGATGTAGTAGATGAAATTTTAGGACAAGTTGTAGAACAAATGCATGAAATCAGTAGTACTTAATATCTTAAGATTTTAGCAGACTCTTCCTTGATCTTCCATTATAACCTTTGTGTAAGTTCAAAATTGTATATACCGCTTCTTCACTTTATATATTTGACATAGTTCGATCAATAAGTGTATATACACGTTTCAATGTTCCCACAGATGCAGTGGGTGTTATCTTCACTTTCTCTTAAAGGAACACTGTCAATATTGACCAACCCTGATGTACTTAATTAAGGATTTTGCTTTTAAAATGTATTTGTAATTAAATCTGCAAATATTTTTATTATTAGGAATCTTAATACTTTTCTACAAAAGCTTTTTCGTTGACTTTTGATCTTATATAAGCATTAATACTTGCAATTACTTCCTCTTCTAAAATCTAAGTAGTGGAATATATTAAAAATGCAAAAAAGAACCTTGATTTCCTTCTCAGAAGAAACCTTAGTAGTGTTGTTGTATAATACAGTATTGTTTCATTGCTGTCAGCAATGTTATATGTTGCATTAATGAGACAGAAATGTGACTAGTATGAAAACTTTGGCCATATGGGTAATATTCGTGTTTTACTACCAAAAGAAGAAAAAAATTATGATCTTTTACTCCCTTTTGGGTTTTTTTTTATGTCACTGGAGAACACTATTTGTACATAGTTTTACAGCATAAACAATTCCATGGGATATGGCTAGGATATTTCAGCCTTTTCAGTGATGGAAACCACATGCCCGTGTGTGTCCAGCCCTTACTACTTGATTGTTGTTTCTTACATCCAAAAACCTGTTTGTATTTGAGCGCACTGAGGGGAGAGAGATCTTCAGTTCTACCGTATAGTTCCTATTTGAGCACAGCAGTGCTGGTTCACCAGCCCAGGTATGTTCCAGTACATGGCTTCAACAGTCAGATTTCACACACAGCTCTTGCCTACTTTTTCCAAGACAAAGGCAGCTGGTACCATGGGAGGCAGCCTGGTGGACCATGGGAGAGAACAAGGTGGGGTGGAGTACCCAAAGCTAGGTAGAATGCCTGGGCAGCCCCTGCTCTGCATCAAACACCATCACTTGAGACCTGAAGGCCTTTTTTCAGGGACGCCCGGTGCTGAACAGGATCAACATAGAGGTTCTGTGATGCATTTGTATGCTGATATACAGAATCTCAAAAAAACTAAATCATCGCTGTATTAAACACGGAGTCTGCCTTGGAGTCTTTCAGACTGAGATGTGAGAGTGGTGAGATTAATCTCTGAAACTAACCTTCCTGTCAGAATGTACCATGCTGAGTACGAACGAGTCAGACTACTCACTCCTTGATTAGTTAGTTGAATGGGAATACTCTGAAGAAGAGGCATGTTTACTCATCTGTGATGTTAACTACTACAGAGCGAGCTAAAGCTGAAAATGTTCAGATACAACTTGTTTATGCTATCTTAAAGTTTAGACGTCTTTTATTATAGGCAAGACAGGGGAGTCCTGCTTTTCCCTGCTTTTTTTTTTTGTTGTTGTTAAAAATGTTTTATAGGGACTCTTAAGCCACTGGTTCTCTGCCCTAATGCTCATGCAAAAACTTCCTGGAAGAAATGATACAGAGAGAAATCACTGTTACAATGATAATGGTATTCTCAGCCAATTGTGTAATTTTCTTCTGAAGTCATCAGGAATGCGAAGAGAGGCAGCAAAGATAGCAAATGCACCTTTTACTCTGCAGTGGTATTTGTCGTCCAAACAGTGATCAATAAAAATGGTTCTTGCTTTTAAAAAAATTCTTAAAAAATTTTTTTTAAAAATCATGGAATAGCAGTCAATTTGTTAATTCCTAGAAAGTGTCTTGTTTTATAAAGCCAACATTTTTGGCTTTTGCACTGCTACTGTCCTGATTTAATTAGATTATGTTCCTTTTAGTTGTAGTTCAGTCAGTTTATTTTGATGGACAGTATTTCAGTTTTAAGATGCTGTCTATTTTAATATGCCAATAAGGGTAATGCAATACTGTTGTACTTTATAATGGGTAAATTGAATGTTTGATTTTTGAAGAGGTGGCTGTAATATAACTATGACTTTTAAAAAGTTTATATTTTTCATTTATTGGTGTGTAGTTTTCCATTTTTTAATCATTATTTATTAAGTTTCCTCAGACTCTGTAGTCGAATTTCTTATAGGCAACTGGCAAAATATAACGTATGTCTATATTAGAAATGGCAAATTTACTCTGTACATTTACACTTTGGAGAACAGTGGACTAATGGAAATGGTTTTTATTTACTTGTTAAAATGTATTTTTTGTAAAAAATAAAAATAAACAATATATAAATCTGAGTTTGCTGGATCAAAACTTGTACGTGATCAAATGCAATGTTTTTGTTTATAAATAAATACTATGCAGAATGGCTAGTGTTTTTGGCTTATTTTAAGTATTGTGTCTTACCAGAAAGCTGGCTCAGCCTGGTTTTGAGCAGAAGACCAAGACCAAGGCCAGGGCTGCCCTGGGACAGACCAGGACAGGCATCCTGACCCAGCCCAAGCCAGCTGCCTGGCTCTGCTGCTTCAGACGGTTGGTTTTGTACGGGGAATTCTATTACCCAGTTTTAAGACTGTTGCTGTAATAGGATTCGGGGAAAAAAACCCTCTTTTTCAAGGCTTTGTTAGCTGTTGTCTTAGCAGTACCCGGGTGGAAGGGACAGGGGCACCAAGGTAAGAGTGAGGGAGGTGGGACCACCTGCTCCTCGGCATGAGGGCAAGCTCTGGCGTCAGGTCAGCTCAGCTCCTGGTGAAAGCCGGCCCTGCGGCTGGCCGAGCAGCTCCCCGGTGCGGGAGGCGCGAGTCCCCCGATAGCGGTGTGGCAATTTGGTGGCTGAGGCAGTCGTTCCCCCCTGAGCAGCGCTTGGTTTTGCGATACAGGTGATTAAATAAAGAGGTGGCGGCACAGAAAGTGTTGCACTTGGTAGGGAAATGTTCTGGTTATGGAAAATGCGGTGCTGTTATAAGCCAGGGTACATTTTAACCGAATTTCAAGGAAGTTTCTGATTTTAATACATGGGTGTAACTCCGTGCTTTCTGCTGTGCGAGTGTAATTTCAAATCGAGCAGGAGGACCTGCACTGTCCTGGCCTTCTAAGTCTAGTCATACTTGCATGGAAATCTTCATCGCCCTCTATGGAGAAGTCCTCTTCCTTTTTCAAAAGTAATTTTTAAAAAAAGAAAATTAATTTGTATACAATATATCTTCATTTGTTTTCAACTGTTGTGTTAGTCAGTTCAGTAACTGGTGAGGTCTTGCAGAGTCCGAATTTTGGCTTTAACCCCAGGGCTGGTGGTGGTTTTGCCAGTTGGTGTTGGGGATTGGGCGAGAGGCAGCATGGCCAGAGGCGGTGTGGGCAGAAGGAAACGCAGGTGCCAGTTTCTAAGGATGCAATTTTTTAATTATTTCAGATGGAAAGGTTTGCATTTGAAAGAAAGGGGAATTTGGGGGCTTAGTTGCCCTTTGACCAGTCTAAATGTAAAAATATCTCAAGTACAGCAAGGCTTTTTTTTTTTTTTTTTTTTTTCCCTTTTCGGAAGCGGGCGAGCAGTGGGCTTTTTTAGTTTCTGTTTTGTTGTTGTTGTGGCTTTTTTTTTTAATGGGAAGGAAGCCTAGGGCGGGGCGAACACCTCCTACCCAGCCCAGCAACGGGGCAGAGCGGCGGCCTTTCCCGCCGCCACCCCTTTTTGCTGTTCCAGCGGGGGCGGGCGGGCCTGCGGGGCCGCAGAGGCACCTTCCCCACCCACCCACCCGCCCGCCCGCCCGCAGCTAAACCGCCACCCGAAACCGGGGCGGGGGCAAAGCGGGGGCGATTCCGCCGGCCCCGCTGCCGCCGGGCGGCCCCTGAGGGCGCGGCGGGCCCCGCCCTGCCGCCGCCGCCGCCTCCAGCAGGGGGCGCTGCCGCCCCGCCGCCGGGCGCACCTCGGCCGGCGGCGGGGCGGCAGCGCGCAGGCGCCGGGGCGGGAAACGCGCGCCCGCGCTGGAGCCCGGCCAGGCCGCGCGCAGGTAGGGGCTGGGGGGGTGGGAGAAGCGCACGGGCGCCCCACGCACCCACCCACCCACCCAGCGACCGGCCGTTAGCGGCGGTTGGGGCCGCGGCCCCGCCGTGCTGTGGGGAGAGGGGCCGCGGCGGGAGCCGGGCTTTCTGTGGGCGGGAAGGCTCCCCCCGGCCCTAGCGGGGCTGTCGCCGGCGAGCGCGTTGCATTGCATTGCATTGCGTTGCGTTCCGTTCCGTTGGGCTGGTCCCCTCAGCGCGTCGGAAATCGCCTGTCCCCGGCGGCGCGGTGGGGCGGCTTTTTTTCGCGGTCCCCGGGGCTTTGAGGAGAGGTGCCTCTGCCTTCCCCCGGCCCCCGCCGGGGCCTCCGTGCCTTTCCGTCGTTCTGGCTCCTCGGCGCTTCGCGGTTGGCGGGGAAGCGGCTGTGAGCCCGAGGGCTGGGGGGATGCGCATCGGGCCCGGCCGGCGGGGGCTCGGCCCCGGCGGGGGCCGGGCTGGGGCAGCGCCCGGGCAGCCGAGGGAGTGCGGGCGCGCTCCGGGGGCTGATAGGGAAAAGCTGCGGCGTCTGCCCCTCGGGATTTACCGAGTGTCAGAACCCTGTCCTGTGCTTCTCCCACGACATGTCATTCCACTGAGAGACGTGACTTTATTACCCTTCTCATGCACTAACTTTAGCCATAATAAATCATAGCGTTTAGAAGTGGTCTTCCTTAAACCATCCTGTCAGTTTCTGGAGGGAAGTTGTTCTGGCATCTGTCTGTGGAGGTTGTGAAATCTGCATTAACCTTGATTGTCTTTGTCATAAGAAACAGTAATTGATCCGGTATTTGCTCTTTTTTTCCTTAGCAAACATGAAGGTCATCACTTGTGAAATAGCGTGGCATAATAAGGAGCCTGTTTACAGCTTAGACTTCCAACGTGGAGCTGATGGGAAGATCAATCGACTGGCCTCAGCAGGTGTAGACACAGCTGTTCGGGTAAGTTTCAAACCTGTTTTGGTTTTGTAGCATGTGCAGAGCATGAAATGGCTTGTTGTCCCAGGTATTAGACTATTGGCCAGTACATGACACCTGTGGTGGACGGTTTAGGGAAAGCATATGAGATTGCACAGCTATATGCAGCATGACTTCCCCTTGTATACTGCCCTTGAGTTCTGCTGCTGAGTGTTGAACTGCTAGTTTTAGGAAATTACCTGCCTTGACTGTTGGGTGATATTCCTGAGTAGTAACTGCTAATTTAGGGCACAGTCTTGTGGGTTAGTAAGAAACAAGTGGGTTTCATTTCTTTATGTTCATCCAAGTTGAATTTTATCTGCCATTTTATAAGTAGTCACTTAGCTATATGAGCTCTTTCTACAGCCCTTTTCACTCAGCTTCAGATGCATCTCTCCTAAGTAATTTTGCATCAGTCCTAACAAACTTTGTTAATCAGTTGCTTATCCTGTTCAGAATCACTTATGAAAATGTTGAATAGCACAAGCCCCAAAAGATGTGGCTGTAGCATTTAGCTTTGCAAAATCAGGCAGTTGTTTACTGTATTCTAAATTCTTAATGTATGTGAGGACTGTCCCCGCTGTTCAGTGATCTCTTGGTTTCTTTAACAGCCTCAACCCTAACTGGAAAGTTTGGGGAAATTGCATGCGCTGGCTGAGCCACGTTCTTTTTATCTGGATGTTAGTCAAATCCTTAAATAAATGTCCAAGTGAGGCACAGTTTCCTTTGGAGAGAAATAAATTGAATTTATTTATTTAGCAACTTCTCTTCATGGAACGTAGACATAGTGGTCAGAGTTTTTCATTAGAGCACTTCTAAAAGACTGACACTTTTGCCTCCCCTGTTTTTTGGAGCTGAAACAGTGAGTTACGCATCGCTGCTGGGCTGTTCTTCTCATGTTTGAGTTCCTGTAGGTCGCTTCAATATCTGGGCCTGGTGGTTTCCTGTAAAACACTATTTTTTTTTTTTTTGCTTGTTTACTAAAATCTCTACTGCTAACCTTTCAATTTGAGACAGTTCCTCAAACTTACCCCACAAAAAAGAAGGGTTCCAACCTGGGATCCTCTCTGTGCTCCTTAGTAATGAACTCCAATGCAAAGAATTCATGTAGGTTCTCTGCTATGTGTGTATGCATCTGTCTTTGCGTGGTAATTTTACATTTGAATTATCTTTTGGGACTGCTTATGTTCTGTCAGGCTTCCATCATCTATTTGAAGAAGAAATAAAACCACTATAATAAGGTTTTATTACCTGTGCAGTAGGCACATAAGAACAACCAGGTTTTCTTTTGTGTTACTGCTGCATTTTCTTCTGAATAGGAAAGTGCTATGTTTTAGCAGATAATTGAGTTGAAAAGATCATATTTATACTTGCATTTGGAAAGCTTGGATTGGATCCAGATTTGTTCCTCAGGATCTTCAACACAATACTTTGTGAAATATGCCAATATTTCTTAGTGTATTTATTAGCAAATTATTGTGAATTGTAACTGCTGTGATGTGTGCATGATTAGAATACCTCTTTTTTTTGGAGATGGTAAGTGGAATAAATGTAATTAAAAGCTAGGGTTTTATTTCAGTAGCCTCAGCCAAAACTTTTCCGTTCCTCACTGGCAGGTTGACTTCTTACCTGATGGTGTATGCGTTTCTGGGATTTTGGCTGTATATATATATAGGTTACTGAATACATATTTAAATCATATTTATACATACACGTATTTTAGGACCAGAAAAATTTCAGTAGTTTCTGACACGAGAGATATGGCTGCTATGTCTTCTTTCAGAGGACTGTTGAATAAAGAGGGAAAACTGACAAAAGTTAGAGGTCTTAATTCAGTCTGCTCCACTGTTTGGTATATTCTTATCAAGACCTTGTTGCTGGGGTGATTTTGTTTGATTTGATTTTCCTGAACTGAGCTGCAGCCAAGAGCAGAGTATTTGAAACACTATGCTGGGTTTGTGTGTGCCAGGGTTTTTGGTAGTGGAGAGGGGGCTACAGTGGTGGCCCCTGTGAGACCCTTCTCACATCTCCCCCAGCTCCAAGTCTGACCCACTTCTGGCCAGGGCCGAGCCAGTCGGCGATGGTGACTGCACCTCTGCGATAGCGTATTTAAGAAGGGGAACCTGGGAGGAGGAAGAGTAAGGGAAATACCTATGCAGACACTGAGGTCAGCTGAAAAAAAGAAAGGAAGGAGCGGGACGTGCACTGAGTCAGAGACCTCCCTGCAGCCCCTGGTAAGAGGGCAGGCTGCCCCCCTGCAGGCCGTGGAGGTCCACAGGGGAGCAGATGCCCACCTGCAGCCTGTGGAGGACCCCACACTGGAGCAGGTGGCTGTGCCTGAGGAAGGCAAGGACCCTGAGGCAAGACCATGCTGTTGTATTTTGTCTCTGGGAGGACTGCAACATGTAGGAGGGACCCACGCTGGAGCAGTGTGTGAAGAGCTGCAGCCCTGTGGGAAGGACTCACGTTGGAGAAGTTTGTGGAAGACTGTCTCCTGTGAGAGGGACCCTACGCTGGAGCAGGGGAAGAGTGTGAGGAGTCCTCCCCCTGAGGAGGAAGGAGCACCAGAAACAATGGGTGATGAACTGACTGCAACCCCCATCCTCTGCCCCCCTTGCAGGGAAGGAGGTAGAGAAATGGGGAGCAAAGCTGAGCCTGGGAAGAAAGGAGGGCTGGTGAGGGAAGGTGTTTTTAAGACGTGGTTGTATTTCTCATTATCCTACTTTTGATTTGATTGGTAAATTGGTGATGTTCAAATTAAATTGATGTTCTTTCTTCACAAGTTGAGTCTGGCTTTTGCCCATGACCATAATTGGTGAGTCATACCTCCCTGTCCTTGTCTCGATCACTGAGCCTTCCTTTATATTTTCTCCTCCCCGCCTGGTGGGAGAGGGGAAGAGCAAGCAGCCTCATGGTATTCACTTGCCCTTTGGGCTTAAATCACAACAAACTGATGGGATTTAGCTATCCATGGCCTTAGTCCCGCAATATAGGGACGTAACAGTGTTGCTTTTGTGGCTGAACCAGTGCACAAGTAGAGCAGTAAGAGTGGCAAAATTGAGAACAAGTAGGATCAGGAATTCCTTAAGACAGCATTTCTGGAAGAGTATCCATATCATGCAGCTATCTTAATGCTGTGGTTATGATCAGTGGGGAACTTGAATTATTATAATTCTTGCTTACATAATCTGTTTGAAACCAGTAAATCTATTGACATTTGAGGTATACTGCAAAACTCTTCAACTTGCTCAGACTTCTGAAGAGAGATAATACGGGGTTTTTTTCTCCTGTAGTAATCACATTTTTTTTTTTTCAGACTGTTACAATTTGTAGTTTACGGATTTGCTAACAAGATACTGTTATTCCATGCTACTGAATCATTGTATTTATAGGCTTCTCAAATAACTTTGAAGCTAGAGGTTGTCAATGAACGGAGAGAGAATAGTGTTATATGTTTGATTGAGCTTTTTTTTAATTTATTGGAAATATTCAGTAATATATTTCATCAGACTAAAAAAATACTGTAATATAATTATAGCTTGTGATGAGTTGACCCTGGCTGGCCCCCCACCAGGTGCCCACCAAACTGCTCTATTACTCCTCCTCTTCAACAGGATGGGGAGAAAATACAATGGAAAAGCTTATGGGTTGAGGTAAGGACAGGGAGATCACTTACTAATTACTGTCATGGGCAAAACAGATTCAACTTAGGGAAATGAGTTTAATATACTGTTAATTAATAACAGAGTCAGATAGTGAGAAATAAGAACAAAACTAAAAACACCTTCTCCCCACCCCTCCCTTCCTCCCAAGCTCAACTTCACTCCTGGCTCTTGTACCTCCTCCCACTCGGTGGCACAGGGGGGGGATAGGGAATGGGGGTGTAATCAGTTCATCACAGATTGTCTCTGCAGCTCCTTCCTCCTCGCTCTTCCCCTGCTGCAGGTCCCTGCTACAGGAGACAGTCTTTCATAAACTTGTCTGGTATGGATCCTTCACACAAGCTGCAGTTCTTCACAAACTGCTCCAGTGTGGTCTTTTCCATGGAGTGCAATCTTTCAGGAATGAAGTGCTCCAGCGCGGTTCCCCCCCGGGGTCACAGTTCCTGCCACCAAACCTGCTCCTGCGTGGGCTCCTCTTCACAGGCCACCTGCTCCTGCGTGGGGTCCTCCACGGGCTGCAGGTGGGCATCTGCTCCCCCGTGGACCGCCATGGCCTGCCGGGGGACAGCCTGCCTCACCAAGGTCTTTTCCAGGGGCTTCAGGGGAATCTCTGCTCTGGTGCGTGGAGTGCCTCCTCCCCTCCTTCACTGCTCTTCGTGTCTGCAAGGCTGTTTCACGTTTTTCTTACTGTTTTCTCACAGTTGCCTTACAGTGTTTAACTCTTTCTTAAATATTTTATCATAGAGTCACCACCAGGGTCGCTGATGGGCTGAGCTTTGGCCAGAGTTGGGACAGTCTTGGAGCTGGCTGGAACTGGCTCTGTCCAACATGGGGACAGCTTTTGGGGTCGTCTCAGAGAAGCCAGCCCTGATGCCTCCCCCAGCTACCAAAACATTGTCACGTAAACCCAGTGCACAGCTGTAGCTCATAGAGGGACTTGTGGTGCAACTGCAGCTTTATCTCTGAAAGTTTCGCATAATAAACTCAGGATGACTGCCCAAGGAGTAAGTTGTGGCTTACTGAAGTGGTGCATATATATTACATCCTGGTCCTGAAAACTGTCTGTAATACTTTTATAACTAGATATGGAAAGTGGAAAAAGGACCAGATGGAAAAGCAATTGTGGAATTCTTGTCCAACCTCGCCCGCCATACCAAAGCAGTAAATGTTGTGCGCTTCTCTCCAGGTGGTGAGATCCTAGCATCTGGAGGAGATGGTGAGAACTGCTTTTCATGTGTCTGACGTGAGATAATTATAATGTTGGACTAAATGTAATGCATTAACAAAACAGTGAATGGGAAAGAAACTTCATGTAATTTCTTCTACAGATGCTGTTATATTATTGTGGAAGCTGAACGATAGCAAAGAATTGGAACCATTAGTTTTTCAGGATGAAGGTGAAGCTCAGCTCAACAAGGAAAACTGGACAGTCGTTAAAACTTTAAGGTAGCTTAATATTTTATGAGTTTGTTTTCTGTTCAGTGTTTTTGATTCCCTAGTGGCTTTTATCATCTGGTATAGTCTTCTGTTCAGTGTATGTAGAACTTCAATGCTCTCTAAAATTAGCTTGCTCTAATACTCATCCTTTTATTGTGTTTAACTTTTTTGATGCCGTGCCAACCTACATCTTCTGTTAAGGCAGAAGATTTGGTCTTTGTCACATAACTGACATGCTCTGAGATTTGCAGTCGCTTAAAGCTTAGCACAGATACACAGAAAGTAAATGTGAAGTTTTCTTTACTAGTTTCATAGTGAAAATTTTGATCATTATTAAGTGAAAAAGTGTCAGTAGATAAAATGATTCATGCAGTTTTGTCAGATGATAGCTGCAGGGCTCAACCAATCTTTTTCAACTAGTTAATTTTAATAGTTGAAAGCCTTCTGCATTATACAGCTTTTGTTTCAAGTGTATAATAAATAATAAAATATATACACGCCATGCCTGCTAAGGCTAAGTAAGTATTAGCAGATAGTGGCTAAGGGATCAAATCACTACTGACAGTTGAACTACCACAGTGTTCTGTTTTCACTCTTGGCTGAAGGCTGAAAGAAATTAGTGGTTCTGGACTCAGAAATGCATTTTGAATTAACAGTATGTATCACTCTGCCTCACTTTCTGTGTAGTATCTGTTAAAAGTTTTGGTTTCTATCTGTCTATACTGATCAAACCATTAAGAGTTTACACTTGTTTACAAAAAATAAGTAACTCTGCTACCCATAACTGATACATTCCTTGCAGCTGCTGAGGTTTATGTGAGAACAGTTTCAAAAGTGCTAGTGGGGTTGCTTGAAGCACCAGCATGATCCTTTAGGAACATTAGAGTTCATCTCTTAAAGCAAACAAACAAACCCAATCCCCCTTCCCTAAACTTGGTCTTGCAAATATTTATTATTAAAGTTACCACACTGTATGATAAATCTTCAAACAACAAAAAATAAAAATTGTTTTTGATGGAGCCCTTCTAGGTAGTTCTGAATATCTTGAGATGTCTGTCCAACTATATCTAAATCAACCTTAATTTTCCGGGTTTCATGTGGTTCTGCCAAGTATGCGTGTTTGTTTACTGCTTTTATGAAACCCATAAATATGCAAGAAGGTTTTTTCTTAATAGTGACGTTTCCTAATTACTTTGGTGTAGTGCTTTATTTTCTGTTTGTACAAATGCTAGAACTGTTCATTTCCAGATCTCTAGGTACAAATTCATTTCATGACATTTTCGTTGTCTGTGAAAAAGACCTGTTGAAAAGGCAGGTTTATTTTGAATAGAAGTAGGATGTGCTTTCTTAAAATGTTCTACCACCTACTGAATATGGAAGCTTTTTTTTAAAAGCTGAAAAATGTGCTGTCTGTTTTGCTTCAGTGATGCTTTATTTGCCTCTGATTTTTTTTTTTTTTTAACCTAAAAATGAGGAAAACTCATGTTTACATGTAGCTGCTAATTTTTAAATTAATAATTGGTTTCTTCTCTTCTGACTTATAGAGGCCACTTAGAAGATGTCTATGATATTTGTTGGACCTCAGATGGAAATTACATGGCATCCGCTTCTGTAGATAACACAGCTATAATGTGGGATGTTAATAAAGGTAAAGGCTATGTTTATCATTTGTGTCTCCAGTCCTGGAGGAAGAGCCTCGTGGTGCTTGCCAAAAGAGTCAAAAGCATCTTTTTTTTTGTGATTGCTAGATTTCTGGGATTGTGAGGCTATCTGCCTCGTATAAAGGCCCAGAATATAAAGATACCTGCAGGCCAGCAAAATTTACGCAGAAGTAATCTCTTCACCTTGGAGTATTCAGGAAATAAACTTCACCCAACTTTTTTTCCCTCAACCTCCTACACAAGCAGCTTGTATATTATTTACTCCACACCCCAACAAACAAACAAAACTTGACTGGTATCAGGTAACTAATTACCTAGATAGAAAATGGAAAGTGAGTATAGGATGCAGGCTCTGTTTTGCAAGATGTGTCCATTTTTCTTAGTCTCCATTAGGCTGTTTGTTTGGCACTTCTGTTTTTTCTCATCCCACTGCAGTGGGATTGTTCTCCAAGAAAGGCCCGTATATAGAAGTTTTGGTAGTAACCATGTAGGTTAGGTTGCTTTACAATGGTGCGATATTTTCTTATTAGCAACGTAATCATTGCTTTTAATGTAATGTGGAAGTACTTAGCTTTCTTTAAAGTTAACCTTTTATCTCACGTTTCTAATATTTAGTGTCTAATTAAGAAAAATAAAGTAGAATCCAGTGCACCTACACATGAAAATACAAATGTTCAGCTGCTGAGATTTTTTGTGTTCTTGATTTGGCTGCTTAATGTCTCTCCCATGTGAACTGTCAGATATACTTGTTCCATAAGTTTTTACCATAAATACATGAATGTTCAGTTAAGAGTGAGTGTGCTTAGAGCATGAGGCTGTGTAGGGGCATCGTGACCAAATGTCTCTTGCATGTCGGGCTGCTTGCAATGCCTTTAAAGGAACGTATCTATTAGAATTATTACTAAAAAAATCTTGATGGCCTCTTAAGCTCATACGTTACTTATGTGTAATGTCTTCCACTCTCACTGCTTTCTTTTAACATGCAATTAATGCCATGGAGGGCATTCTGTGTCTTCTAGGCAGAGAGACAACTAGTAAGTTGGAAGTAAGAAGCCATTAGTGGAAAATGTAGGCTCTATGATTGAAGTTGTAGGTACATGAGAGAGTTTCAAGAATAGCTTCTGGTAATACCCAGGCTGAATGTTTGCATGCTTTTTTTAAAAATGGCTGGAAGAAGATGAATAGTAAAAATCCATAGGGCTACTCAGTACAAAGAGAGCATCACTGGGTTAAGTCCTTAAAGTAAAAACTGTTGGCAGCTTACAGGGTATCTTGTAGAAATATCATTATGTGTTTGCTCTGATCTTACACTCTTCCTTAGGCGTCTGTTATTGGCCACTGTCAGAGACAGAATACTGCACCAGAAGGACTTTTGGTGTTCTGCAGCACAGCCTCAACTCTATTTGTGTAATCTTTTAGAAGAGCTATTGTCTTTGAAACTTGTCATCCTATAGTGTTTCTTTGCAACAAAACAAAACTTAACAGATAGGAAAAAACCCCACCTGTCACAAGTATTCAAAACAAAGTATCTAATGAGGATTATCTGCAACTTTGACTCATCACAATGCTTTGGATATGAGACATCCGTCTGTGGCACGTGAGGTCAGAAAGCTCATGCCTTTGAGAGATCTTCATGACAGTTAGCTGTGGAAGAACGTGAGTTAGCACTGCTGTAGAATTGTTTCTGAAAGCTGCCCATGTGTAAGCATCAGTCAGCATGTGTGTAGTATATTTTTTTCAATGCCTGCTCAGCAGAGTAGATGAGTATATACAGCCCCCCAGCTGGAAGTTATGTTTTAACACTGGAATTCTGACTCAATATTCAGCCAAATTTAGTTAGCTGTTGATCAGTATTCTAGACCTGCCTGAAAAGTTTTCTTTAAATCACAAAGGTTTTGAAATACTTCTGTTTTGAAATATACTCATTTTGCATGTTTAATGCCTAAGCAAATCTGCTTGTCTGAGTTAGTTTGTAGGGAACAAGCCTTAAATTGGCACATCATAATTTCCTGTACTTGTGAAGATTCTAGAAATAAAGCAACAATTTTGGATATTCTTATCAGGTACCATGAAGTTAACAGTTTATATGTTTAAAAAATTTTTTCTCTACATTTTGAAATATTTTGTCTTGTTTTATTTCTGAAATGAAGAAATGTTTTAAAACAAATTTAAGTTTGGAATCTGAAAGCTGTTTGTAATTTCAGGACAGAAGATTTCAATATTAAATGAACACAAGAGTTATGTCCAAGGAATAACCTGCGATCCTCTAGGCCAGTACATTGCAACTCTGAGTTGTGATAGGTGAGCTGTTGGTCTAAGTGTTTTGCCATAGTATTCTTTCTTACTTGAGGGTGAACTGAAAGCAAGTGTACAGGATAAATGTGACTTTTCTTTTAGTTTTATTCACATTGTTCTGTAAGAAGGTTGGTGTGAAAGTAAAATGATACTTTAGTTAATATTTTGCTTGTGGTAAATGATTCCCGAAGTCTGAGTGTCCTCTCTAAGTAGCAAATAAGCTTACATAAACTTTTGTAGAAATTCTTCCGAAAGTAAGTTTTCATGGTATTGGTCATTAGAGATACCAAACGCATGTTAAGAGAGTGCTGCATTCTCTGGCTGTTAATGAGCTAATAAGTTTATCCTTGTCATCTTACAGAAAGATATAAACAGTTTAAGAAATCAATTAAAATGTTTTTCCACTGATATCTTTCTTTTGCCCTCTTGCTCCCTCCATCCCCAACAGTTTTGTAAGTGATGTCATTGGGAAAGCTAAACACACACTTCATAAACTTGGCCCTTGTCAGAACTTTGAGTGAGCTTAAACTGTTTAGGGCATGTGTGCTGCTCTGAAGGGGTTTGCAGCTGGCTAATAAATGCATGTCATCTGGCACCCACTGCAAAGAAAATTGCTGTAATAGTGGAAAAGCACTTTTGATTTAAGATTTGCAATAGCCCCAGAAAGATCGTAAGTTAATGGCGACTAGGTCAATATGAACCTCTGTCTTCTGATAATCACTTATGTGAGATTTGTGTGCTTTTATTAAAATGAACTGCAGTGAAACACAAGTAATAGAATGATGCACAAGTTTTTCTTGGAGTGAAGTCGCAAGCAAGAGCATGAACTAATCTGAAGAGTGGAAATCTCCCACCCCCTCAGGTTTCACATGCTTTTCTGCAGTGTTAGTGAACAGCATCAACTGAATCGGGGTCCAACAGGAGCCAGGCCAGCTGCCAGGACTGGACACTCACCAGCTCAGGGTGGGGAGACCTCTTCCCCCTTCTAGCAGCCGTGTGACATCCAGAGCCAGTACTTCCACAGCTGTCTCAAGCTGTTTGCCACAGCCTCACCTTCTATTTTCTCTTCCTAGCTCTGTCCAGGATTCTTTGTGGAGTTGTTTCATCACACTAAATCAGCAGAAAACTGTCTGGGTTTTGTGTTAGGTTGTTTTTCTGCCAGCCTAGCAAACCAACAGAACTCATTGAAGATCAGAGCTGGCAGAGGGGAGGGGGTGGTGGGAAGAGCAGTTGGGTTTGCTTAGTCTACCTGCTGTTTTAGTAAGATGAAGTCAGGGGGCTTCCAACATTTTGTACAGAGGTGTACTCCAGTTTTCATTTAGTCCAAAGGAAACTAAAGCATAAAGATGTAGCTAATTGAGGTGAGTTCCCACGCTGCAGGAACATACTGGCTACTACAGCACAGGTAGGAATGGCATGGCCATTCACTGTCCACTAATTCCCTCATTCCTCCACAAATGCATGTGCTGGTACTTCACACACCTTAGCGAGTCAAATAATTGTTAGTGATTCATTGGTTATTTAGCCATCAAAACATGTCCCCCCAGCGGTATCTCATGAACAGTGATAATTAATGTGTGATTATCATCTATAGTTGGTAGTCCTGAGTGAGAAGTGAGGTCCTGTAGCATAGTATGAAACTTGGTGTGAAAGCAAGCTGTTCATAGCTAACTGTGCTCTCCACCGTGTAGGATCCTGCGGGTGTACAACACGCAAACCAGGCGTGTAGCATTCAATGTTACCAAAATGCCGTCCGGATCAGGAGCTGAAGGAGAGGTACGTTGTTCTGATGCTAATGGTGCTGGAGAATGTGCTGGGTGCTATTTTACATGACTTGTTCTGTTCTATGAAACCAAAGGGGCAAATATTTTACGTTCAAGTAATCCATACATTTTTGTCTCTGTCTCACCTTTGCATTTTGTGAACAGAGACTGCTTCAGGTTTCCTTGAACATGACAGAAATGACTAAGAAAGAACACTGCCTGCTGCTGTTGATCTCTTGCAAGTTCAGCTGATTAAAGTAGTAGCACAATGTCTTTGGTTGTAAATGTTAAAAATAACGTGGAAAAAATAGTATGCATAGTGAATTCTTAATAGGAAAAACTTCAAACATGTCTGTCACTAGCTGTAAGTTTAATAATGAATTTGACATAGCAATAATATTTTAAAGTCAGCAGCCTGAAATTTTCAAAAAGGTAGTCTGATTTTTAGGAAAAATATGAATTAGGGAAAATCTAGGAAATTCTAACCCTAAGAGGGAAAACGAAGAGCTTTTCTTCCCCCCAGACAGTTCTAAATTATAGTAAAACAACACCTCCAAGCTGGCTATAACCTTTTTAATTCTTTCTAGTCCTTTTTTTTTGTGAAAAACATTTGTAACAGTTTTACAGAGACTAAAGAACAGGCCTGAGAAAGGGTGTTTTGCCATTATAGAAGTTCTCTTTAAACCTCTAATACTAGAGTTAAAATTAAATGCCTAAGGAACAGGCTTTTATGTTGACTGTTAAATAATGTTGTTCTCCAAGTTATTACTATTTTTTTGATTACTGGTCTAATGTGACTGCTCTTGGAGTGTTTTGATTAGTAGCTGAAGAGGGATCAAGGACTATTTTTCTTAGCTCTGAAGAATTTATAGCACAGAAGAAAGTGAGTTCGAAGGAGCCATGATTTGTAAAACATTTATTTTTAAAGTTGTGTCGGATTGGATTGTACAACTGGATGGATTGTCTCGCTTGCATTCCAGCTGCCGTGTTCATGGCACTTTACACAATCTTATTTCCATGTTACAGGCTAGGAGCTATCGGATGTTTCATGATGACAGCATGAAGTCATTTTTCCGCAGGCTCAGTTTTACTCCTGATGGCTCCTATTTACTCACTCCAGGTATGTGAGAATGTGTGCTATAACTTACATTGTTTATATTAAACTCTAGTTTGATTGTGCATCAAGATTGCTTTCAAACTGCTGAGGGATGCTTATTTATCTTAATTACGCCATTTCTCATTATGCCTATTAAAGAAAATAGAGACTGCACAATACTCTTCCATTAGCAGTCCAGAACATCAACTTTCTTCTGTAATAAAAATTATATTAATATGTTTTTCTGAACTGAAACATGTAAATTGCAACAATAGTGCTCTGTTAAAATAGAACTGAAGGAGTGGTTTCTTTTCACTGGTCTCTCTGTTCATATCCTTTCTTAAGAACGTTCTGCAGTCATAGTAAAAATAACATTGCAAGGAGGGGATCAGTTTGCCCATGTAAGCACTGCTTTTATAGATGTCTGGCAACATCAAAAAGAAGCTTTGAGGGGGAAATATATAACGGTAACAAAAACAGCACTAAATAAATATTTGGGATGCCTTTTTAAGTTGTGTTCAGGTTGCACATTTCTTGCCCAACTGACAAGCCTAATTCCTGAGAAGTAGAATGTTTATGGACATAAAGTGTGTACTCAGTACCTTTTTGAGTTGATGAGTAATATTTTAACCTTTATTTTTGCAGCTGGCTGTGTTGAATCAGGAGAAAATGTAACAAACACCACGTATGTTTTCTCCAGAAACAATCTTAAAAGGTAAAGTTTAATAAGATCAAAATATCTTTTTCTTTTTAAATACATAAATAAATAAATGCTGTTTTCTGAAATACTGATTCTTTATAAAAGGCCTGTGGGTCACCTGCCATGTCCTGGAAAGGCAACTCTTGCTGTTCGCTGCTGCCCAGTCTACTTTGAGTTGAGACAAGCGTTTAATAAAGGTACTGTAAATCCTTCAGGGAGTATGATTTTACAGCAAATATGTGAAAAGGCCAATGTGGCTGTTTACTGTTTTATGCCCTAGGCTTTTAGCATTCCGTTAAGATAGTGTTGTACCACATTTTAGGAGCTGTTTCCTGATTCTAAGACCCTGAATTCACCTTAAGTACCTTGTGAGTAGCTTTTGATATAGTGGATAAATGTTCTTACTTGGCCTTTTAGGCTACAGAAACACTGTTTAATATTTTTCTTTAATTTTTAACCATTCTAAGTGAGTAAAAGTAAATAACTTGGCTTGGCACTAAAGGAGACCCAGTGAAATACTTCCTGTTAGTCTCAACTACCCACATCACAGGAGCACCAGAGAGTTGGTGTAGTTTGTAACAACTATTGATGTTTATTCAAGGAAGCCACACCTGAAGCAGAGCTGGTGTTACTGGCCAGAATAGGAGTTCTGAGGTGGGGAAAGGATTGTGTGAAGTGGCATGAGAACTTACCTGGAGATTGAAATCCAGCCTTACTGTGAACCCAGTGAGTCCAGGAGTGTTTATATTTTAACAAGACTGGTCTTCCTCTGGTGAAGAGACAGAGCTTTGCTCTTTTCTTTAGAGTCAATTTGTAGTTTTCCTCACAGGATTTAGAAATTACTTGTCATTGTCTTCAATATTTTTATCATAATCTTTAGATCCATTGTAATGGTGAGTTGCAAAGTAAGGAGATGAGTGTCTGCTGTTGGTCTCTGTAGCTCCTCTAAACAGACTATTTAATTTCTCTGACATACACCCACACAAGTGAAAATCTGTGGTAGTCTAGAAATCTATAGATGTGAGTACCTTACATTATGTTAATGGCCTGTCTGGTTTAGTGCATAGCTTCCATAATCGTCATAGAACTGAACAGGAGCTTTGTATACTAGGAATGTCTGAAAGCGGCTAGCTAGCACTCTGCTTCCAGTGGAAGCTGGAATAATCTGGCCTTACAAAGAGCTGATGTTGTGTTGAAAAGACTGGCTAAGAGCTGAACCCCGGATAACACAGATAGAGCTAGATCCATTGTTTTGACCGAGTCATACAGAATACAACGTGGTGGTATAAATGTTGTGACCTTTATTTACGCTATATCCTAAGGTGTGTTTTTTTGGACTTTAATACTAAATTTCCTATAAATATGATGAAAAATTACAGCTGGAAAATATATGACAAATTTTACAGAACAAAATAATAGCAATCCAGATCGACAAAGCTTCTGCCAATTTCTCTCTCTTCAGCTAAGACAACAGAGAGCAGACTTCAGGCAACAGAAATGTTAGTGCTTGACATTAAACTTTACATTTTATAGAAGTGCTATCTTCTCAGCCATTATCTTGTTACTGATTAATAATGAAATTTTATTTAGGTTCATGACTAAGCTTAGTGCAGTTATTACCTTGCAATGAATGCAAGGGAGAATACTCAATGTGTTCATTTCTTTGCATTCTAGATGAAATCAGTCAGAAATCATCTCCTGCTCTGTTTAACCTGCCCTATCGATTGGTGTTTGCTGTTGCTTCAGAAGATTCTGTGCTTTTTTATGATACTGAGCAGTCCTTCCCCTTTGGTTATGTTTCTAACATACATTATCACACCCTGAGTGACATTTCGTGGTAGGTAATTGTTACACTCTTAAGATTGGTTGTGATAGGAGAAATGTCCCTTTTACATGTTGAAGTTCTTCACAACATCTTGTGTCTTGCTTTGCTTTTATATTGCGGTTTTGACATGCATGTCATCACTGTCATCACAGTGTCTGAACAGCAAGCCACCTCTTTTTTGCCCTGTAAACCAGAAAATTATGGTTCTTTATCGGTTGGGAAACAAGGTGCAAGCACCCTGGGGACAAGCAGATGAAAAGTTTTATGAAAGCTAATGTACTAGGTGCCCATGAAAAGTAACTCATTGTTCAGGCAGTGTAACTGGAAACAACGAAGTTATTTTGAGGTTTTGGAAGTCATCTTTCTGAGTTCAGCTGTCTGCATCCTGGCTAAATTCTGCTTTATCTGCACAATTCTGCTCAGTGTTACTTTATGTATGGGACAAAGTCATTTGTCTGACTTGATGTGACGAGGACCACATGGAGGCCTCTTTTTCAGAAGCTGGTGGTGAGCACCACACTGATTCTGAGCATTGCCTCTATTTAGCACAAGGAACACAGCCAAAGAGCTTAAACTGCTCTGCTGGTCTGAATGAAGAGATGTCAGCAGTATTTCAGACACTGTGGCTGAAGATTTGTGTACCTACAATTGAGCCATACTTTGTGCCAGCTTAAATGCATGCAGGTGCTGGCAGCAGCGTATTACAGGTGGTCACAGAAAACACCAGAGATGAAATCAGATGCAAAGACCAGAATTGAAGATCTTTTGTTCATTTGAATTGGATGTCTTTTACTTGACTGCAGTTTTATTTAAAGGTATACGTGTACTTGGGGAAGGGAGGAGGAAAAGATGGGTACAACGTGTGTTATAAATGTGGGGAGGTGAGGATTGAAGAAAAGTTCTAACCTTTACTCTTAATGAAAAAAAAAAAAAATCACAAATAGGTCCAGCGATGGAGCCTTTCTCGCTATTTCTTCCACGGATGGTTACTGTTCATTTGTTACCTTTGAGAAGGGTGAACTGGGAATACCACTGAAGGAGAAACCACAGATAAATGTCAGGACTTCTGGGGCAACAGAGAAGAAAGTGAAAAGGAGCCAGTCACACAAAGTCGTTTCCTCAGGCTCTAGGCTGACAGAGGGGACGCCTCTCAGCAGGGTCAACGACCCCAGCACTCCCACCCTCCAACCTAGAACACCCACAGCTGCTGGTAAGGACTTGCCTTCCACACCTGTTGGCATAAAAAATGTTCCAGTCTCATCCTCAGACGAGAGGAAAATCAGCCAGCCAGCCAGCCAGAGCACTAAAGTAAACCAGCCCAGGAGGATTACTCTCAACACTTTACAAGCATGGAGCAAGACGCCAAGGTGAGATTTATATTGCCATTTCCAGTCATAAATACGAAGGCCAAGACAAGCTGTGCTTTTGCTACATTTAAAGGTTGAGGTTTAGACATAAATTCCCAGCCCTGTGTCTTGGTAGTAGCTGTCTTGACATGGAACTTTTTGTTCCAATTGTACTGCAACTGAAAGGTCAAAGTATCTCCTAATTCCTAAATGTACAGCTTTTATATTTCTGTCTGAAATGTGAGACAGTAGCAAAGTTAGCTCAACTGTTACACCATGTCCATTTGGTAGCAATGGGTGTCTGTCTTCAGGCCCTATCTTCTGTACAAAGATGGTACCCAAAGCTTTCAGCTGACAAGAACTATTTAAAAACTCTTCTGACAAGAAATATTTTAAGTAGTGAAGAGTGCCAGTCTAGACAGACCGTCAGCATGCACAGTCATGGGTGTGGGACTTAATGCAGTGATTGTATTTCCTAGGGTGAAGATCTAGGTTGTTAGACATTGCCTGTAGTCCATGTACTGATCGTCAAACAGCCTGCAATGGAAGATCCTGATCTGGTGTGCAGCAGCATGGAGACAGCCAGGCAATTAGAGATCTAGACCTTGTCAGCAAAAGGAGGCTGTTTTAGAATTAAAGGAGATTATTATAACTTCTCACATGAATGTTTTAATTAATAGGTGGCTAGGGAGGAAGTGGTGAACGAGAAAGCAGGATACTTGATTTCATCAACAACTGCAAAGAAAAATCTTAGGAGAGGATGGCTTTCTTCACACCTGTATTGGAACTAATAAGTCAAAGGGTTGTAGATAGTTGAAAGTGATTTTTTCCTGGAGGGTGGGGTCACTGATGGAGCTTATTAATCTTTTTATTTTGGAGAGAGAGAGAAACTATATTTAATCATACCAACTGATTATGCCATGAGTGTCAGCTTGTAGCAGCATTCATGGTGCTACTTGTAAGACTTTTTTTTATGGTTCAGTCCTCTGCCACTTTTGTGCTTAATTTTCAAGTGCCATGCGAAAGACAGTTGGCAGAAGAGTTTCACAGTAATTGTTAGTGGAGCTCTGAACAAACGAATTCCCTAAAGTTTTATGAATCTAAGTGTTAACATGGACAGGACTAGGAAATAGTAAACACAGCTAATCTTAATTTAAAATATTTGACCAAGATACTGTGCTCTGAAGGTGAATATCAAGCATTGTGCCACATATGCAACATATACAAAAGTATTTTCTAGTCAAAAAGATCACGAGTGGTATTAAAGTACTTCTGAAAAATGCTCTATTCGACATATAACAAGAAGAAAAACTGCATAGTAAAATTTATCTACACTACATTTAAATTTAACTGATTCTATCTGAAGTAAATCTTTAAAGTATTTGTGAAAATGATGGCTTGAAAGCAATTGCTGTTTCTGCTCTTTTAAAGGAGAGTAAACTTGATACCACTGAAGTCAGATACACCAACCTCTGCATATACAGATACAGTTCCTGTACCTCCTTCCTCAGAACAGGAACACGGTAAGCTTTTGTGGCTATTAATGTCCAGCAAAGTCTTTTGCCAATCAGTACTTTCCATTATAGACTTCTATTATGAGCTTACAACACAAGCACAATCAAGCACAAACCTAAACCTAGTGGCAAATTCTAAAGCTTCTTCGTTGTCTTGGTGTGCTTGGAAGGTGCTTTTCACAATACAAAACGTGTTCTCACTGCGGTTGTTCTTGGGTAGCTGCTTATGTGACAATATGTCACTACAGTTTTTATAGAAGTGGGTGCATTAGCTGACCCTGAAACCAAGAAGAGTAAATTCACTTGGATGTAATATCCTGCAGGTGGGTTTTAAAGACCCTTGTACTTTCAGCACACCATTGTTTCAGATGCTGGACTTTCTCAAACCAGGGTTGGGGTTTTTTGGCAAGTGCTGAATTGTTTGTGAATTCAGCAAACCAATTTACTTTCTTAATCTGGATTTACTTATCTTAAATGATTTTCTTATCTGCCTGTTTCAGAGAGGCCATTACCATCTGATGACAGTCTTCAAAATCCCCCAGCATCGAAACGTCTTAGAACTGAGGAAACGTCCCTTTCTACTTCTGCTGAAGATCAAATCAGCTGCAATTCAAACAAATAAAGGCTGAGCTTTTAGTAGACTCTTCACAGTCTTAAGGTGATTCAGCCATATCTCAGAATGCATCTCTCTCTGCAAATGTTAAATCCTCAATTCCTGATTAAAGTACCATATGCATATTTGACGTAGTGCTGTGAAGAAAGAAACTGGCAGTAGAAGACACAGGTTTCAGGAACGTAGCTTTGCAGAAGAGGAAGTAGCTGGAAAGAGACTTTTAAGTGCATTTCTACTTCTTGAAGATAGCATTCTTCAAGAAGTGCCACAGCTTAAGGAAATCAGGGAAATCTGGGTATTGAAAAGCCATACAGTAACCTAAGAGTCTCCATCAAAGTCCCTAAGTTGATGTTTTATGTCCTCCAGTAACCTGTCTGGCAAAGGAATAGTATTTCTAAGGACTTAAATGCATTCATACTGATTTGATGTGGTTTAGGACCAAGAAAAAGAGAAACCATTTCATTCAAGCATCTTGGCTTATATGTTTAGCAGTGTGCAAAATAATTCCTGCTCTCCGGTACGTGTGTAATGGAATTTGATGTTCACATACTCTGAATGCAGCAGCATACACTATGACTGATATGATTGAAACAGATCAGAACTTGAACCTGCAAGAAACAAGAAAGCAAAATGAAGGAACCCTCTAAAGACGTCTTATAGGCATTAAACAGTGGAAGAAAGTTTTTAATTGTTTAGTTTCTGTATTAAAAAAAAAAAATACAGAAATAAGACACTCCTGAGGCAGCAGGATTTGAGTGTATACATTAGACGTTTCCCCTTTTTCTTTTTTCCAAATCTTGACTACCTTTGCCAATAAAATGTAATACAAATCCATTGTATGTTAAACTTCTAAAAGTTGATTTTTTTTTTTAGCATTTAATACTTGCACTAAGCATTTAGCATTTAATAATTGTTATATGATCTGCAGATAGAAAACAATGAGACCAAAATATTTTAAAATCACTGGATTTGCTATGGTGTGCAGGCCTAGCGTCTAGAAGTAGAATGCTTAGCCACAGTATTGTGAGCTTAACATCATGGACTTAATTTTAAAAAGTAAGATAATTCTTAAAATATGAGTAGTCATTCTGGCTGATGATAGCATGTAGAAATTTTAAGCAGAATTTTCCGTCATGAATTAGGCTATTCTATAATTTGAAGTTCCACAGTACACAGGAGCGGAGAGCTGCAATTCATATTAAAGCTCTGACTTTAATTCTTCCCTGGATTTGGTTGTTTTTAAGGTGTGTAATTTACTTAGTATTTGTTTTCTGTCAGTTTCTAAGAAAGTGGACTAATATTTCAGAAAAGCAGAAACACAGATGTTTCACAGTTGATTCCTAAAAATTTCATAGGGAGGAAATACTAACAAATACCTGTGTCAGTGTTTCAGGCTAATGAAGTACATTGCCTACAATTAAATTTCAACATACATTAATATGCAAAGAGTTGTAGGAAACTAACTGTATCTTTGCTTTCAACCACTGAGATGAAGCTTCATTAGATTTACCCAAACCTGGGTTTTCTTCTGGTGAGGAATATAAAGATTTAATTACCAAGCAAGGGCACATCTAAAACTGTCATCTTCCCCAAAAGTTTGTAGAGATACCTAAATTAAAGTCTGTAGAGCTATCAAATTGATAGCTGAAAGAGATATTTGTAACTAACATGCATTTCTGGAGTTGCTATTTTATAGTTTGTCCAGTTTGAGCTATGAGAACATTGGTATTTCATCTTCCTGTGAGATGGTGACCCACTTAGTACAGTACTGCAGTGTTTTGATTTGCGCACTGCAAAGGATCCTTTGAATTCAAACTTATACTTCTAACTACTAATTGCAAAGCTGTCCTGATAAGTATTTTTAAATCTTTTTTTGTCTTGTTTTTTAACAGTGTATTTCAATGTAAGCTGCTCTTTCCATTGAAAACTAGTAGGTTGGGTATGTTTAGTGTTATTGGCATACCTCGTCTCTGGTCTTCAGATGCAACTAATCGCCAGAGTATTCATCTTTATTCCACACCATAACCATTCAAGTGCCATCCACATTTTTTTATGTGGTTGCTCTGCTTATTTTTGCTGTCTTACAATCTAAATGGAGCTGTAAAGTTAATGTGGCTTTCACTGCTGCCATTTGGAGACTACTTTCACATCATGATCTTGGTCAGAATGCTCTACCTGATATTTTGTCTTCCCTTGTAGGAATTTTTGCCCTTTAGTTCTAGTTGTCTCTTGGCACTATGATTTCCTACTTCTCTATTGATTCTGTTACTTACACACTACTTTGTCAAATTCATACAACACTAGGTTTTTAACCTTTTTCTATATTTTTAACCTTTTTTCTATACATGGATGCCATCATTCATATAATAAATGACTGTCTTTAACACTGTGACAGTCCGAACTGTAGATTCCTGGGTTTTGTGATCCCTGTTTAAGTCTCCAGGGGGCCATCCCCACATAACATTCATACTCAAGACATTGAAAACTATTCTCACAGTTTATAGAAAGTGACTTCATGTTTTGTTTAGTCATGCTCTAGACTCTGCTCCAAGACAGAACATGCCCAGTGCTATTTCAGTTCTTTCTTGACTGCTTCATAAGGTGATGTATTGCATAGACATAATTCTTTCAAGGGTGCTCTTTAGCCCAGGTTTGACTTAAATGTTATTTTAATTTGGCCAGCTGAATTGTTTTTACTTCAAATGGACCCTGAGTTCATATTCCAGCTGTGAATACAGCGTAGGTGTAGTCTTCTTAGGTCACATTTTGCTCAGTGGCTTCTGTAAGGATGTTACCCACTCTTAAGGACTATTAATCCTGTTTCTTGATGAGATAGCATTGTGGGAAAATGCCCTATCTATGTCTTTCAACCTCACAGCAGTAAGCAGAGGGAGCTGAACTCAGAGAATTGCTGTAAGAGGCAGCAAATTGCTGTTAAACTCAGGGAACCATGTAACTCCATTTGGGGTGTCCAAGCCCTGCTCCCATCAGCACGTTTGCTACCGGTGTGTGTCAATGCCCCACAGACCAGTCTCCTGAAAAAAAAAAAAAAAAAAGCCAAAAAAACCCCACAGTTGCAGAAAGTCATTTCCCTGGGCTGACAGAGGGGACTGCTTGAGCAGAGGAGCTGGAGGACCTCCAGGGGTCCCGTCCGACCTCACCCATTCTGTGATTCTGTTGCCATTTCCAGTTGGGTGTAGTTTGAAAGAGCGGGTGATTTAATGCTTAAGATGGAGAAGTTACTCACCAGTCCGTCGTGGGAATGCATTGAGATACGTGGTCGTTGTCTGGCATCTCTCCCCATCTTCCTCAGGATCGCATGGGGTTTGCACAGGTGCGCGCAGCATAATGAAAGGTGGGGAGCAAGCGCCTCCACTCCGGCTACTGCACAGATACAGCCGCCTGCATTCTCCGACAGTGTAAACATCTGTGTGGACTGTATATTTCATGACTTACAGCTACAGACAAGTGATCCTTTCCCTTTTCCAGATTGGTTTTCTTGCAAGTCTTAGATGTGCTATGCATGTACTTCTCTGGCTTGATGGTAGATCTTCTAAAAGGTCATCGTTATGTCCCAGTTCTGCATACTTCCTTATTTAAGTTGTGTCTGTACGTACGTGTAATGATTTTTCCGTGTTAGAAAAATGTTTTGTTCTTTACCTTAAACCTTGTGCCTTTTTTTATAAGTTCAGTGAAGGGCTGGAAAAGCCCACACTGCAGAAGCACAAAGCCTGAGACTTCTGTGTAAAAACAAAGTGCAGAGCCACCACTGGATGTCACTCATCTAGCAGGATTCCTCCTCCTGGGGCTATGGGGGAAAAAATACTACCGGCAGTGAGAAGAAAGAAAACACGGTTTTCTATTTAAAACCAAGCTGTAGGTGAATCTGTATGGTAAATTTACACTGTAACCAAATAAATTGATTCTATTGTTTCTTCAGGCTTCCTTCTAAAACGGCCAGGGTTTGCTTTCTTACGAATTACTTTTTATAACTGACTAAGGAAAGTAAGTCCATACCAGTTACAGTGTTTCTCTGTTGGGAGATACAAAATGATAAACCTGAAATGCCACATGCAGCCCCAAACTTTCCAAGAATGTCTTAAACATCCCTTCTGTTGAAAAGCTCTTTGAAGACGTAATGGGAAGGATCTGGAAGGCATGTGGACCTTCTGGTGAGTATACACTCCAGCCAGCTTTTGATTGCCTTGCCATGAGTGACCAAGCTGTGTGTCATACGCAGATTGCTACACGTACATGAAGTATTTCAACATCCAGAACCTGGTGCTGCCACCACCAGTGCTAGCACATCCCGCTCTGGGTGGGAGCTGCCAAAAAAGAAGAGGAAAAAGGTTTGCATGCTCCATCTATAAGTCAAAAACCAGTTAATCATGTGTGTCCATGTAACAATACCATCCTGCCTGTCCTAATCTGCTTTGGAAGGTTGCGCCGCCATGGTATTGGTCTTCCAGGACATTGAAATGGAAGAGGTGAGGGCAGGGTCACACCAAGCTGCTGGAGCCCAGGAGAGAGCGGCCATGGAGGGTGACAGGTGTAAGGGCAATATGCAAGCAGTCATCACGCATGAAATGTGTTCTGTGTGCAAGAGCGAAAGACACACCTCCTTGCTGACGAGTCATTTTTTTTATTCCTGCCTAGAAAAGCACTTCTTGCTGCTTACGCCATGCGTCAGGCTAGCGCTGCTCAGTCAGTGATAGGTCTTTTCCACTGCTGAGTTACTGCTAGCTAAAATCACGCGGATCTCTTGCTCCTCAGCAAAAACCTATGTGGACATACCACCATAAAAACCAAATACTTCTGTGAGCTGCTGAACTCGTACGGCATTGTTTCTTACGGATATACAGCTAATTGCACCAGGGCTTTCAAATCGATTTTGCAACTTTTTAGATGGGGGAGGATTCACGACTGTCTTGCTCCTGGAAAGACTTTCTGGTGTGTAATAATGGCTAATTTTTAGACATCATGCTCCTGTGCTATTGATGTTAGTTTTAATTTTTCTTCTATCCAGCTACCTATATTAATACATCTTGTAGTTATTTTACCACTGCCTTATTGTCAAAATTTGGTTGATATTTGCCTATGGATTCAAAACAGTATCTCTATATTGTATATGCACCTTCTCTATGTTTACATAAACATTTCTTATAAAGGAAAACAGGCTTACCAAGTAACTACATTGTATGTGTGTTCTCTGCTATAGCACTTGCAAGATCATGAAGAAGCAAACTGGAGTTACATGATAGCAGGATTTGCTATATAAAAAATATCTAATTTTCACACTGCTTTTTTCTTCATGCTACTATAAATTGGTTTTCTGTTGCAGTTCAAAGGCTGTAGATCATTGCTACATGGCAATAGCAAATTTCATTGTGAAATTTATGTAGACAAATCAGTATTACAAGCACATATGAAACCAGAGGGATGTTGTTCCCAAACATAGCATACAAGGGCCAGATTTTCAGAAGTACTAAGAGTTCATGGGGGGGTTGGACTAGATGATCTTTAAAGGTCACTCCCAACAAACCATTCTATGGTAAGTAGAGTCTGTGGACTGTTGTGTTGAGCAGTACTGTTTTGCCAGTGTCTGAAAGCTCTTACAAAAAGGAAGTAAACTTTTTAATATGAAGGGTTATATGGAAATAGTGGTTGTTTTACCAGTCCACTTCTAACTCCCCTCACAGATCAGTGAGCATCTCTCACAAACAGAATCTCCCTTCTGCTTCGGACCATATCATGGTTTTTACTAACATACAAGTATGTCTGGGCAAATACAGGAGATGTGCTACTTCAGATCTCATCTGACAGATGAGTAACACCATCAAGTACCTTCTCCTAACTTTAAGCTCCTGTTTGGAGAAAGTGGAAATGCCCACAGGGCATTGAAGCTACCAGCTGGAGTCATCCCTCTGCATTTCCCCGGGATGAGGACAAAGCTCTGACAACAACAGGCAGAAAGACGTTTGTAATAGCCCCAAATCTGTAAGTGCTCCCTATGCACTCTGAGTCCAAAAAGGAAATCATCGTCAGGCAGACGTGAGACAGTACTCCTACCCAGTGGTACCTCTGGATTTTCTCTTTGCCACAGGAGAGGTGGGAAAGAGCCTTAGCTCTTTTGCAAAGGGAGAAGAAGGGTTTAAGTATAAATGGAGGTGCTTGAGAGAGGAAAAGTCACAGATGTCGATTCAGTTTTTTGAGCTTGGATGTAGAGAGATATTTGAGGGCTAATAACTAAAGGAGGAGAAACTGGCATTTGGGAAAAAGAAGTGAATGGGGAGCTGAGAGTGCAGAAAGCCTGATTAGTGGTAGGTGGCAGGGAAGGAGTTGGGTATCATTGGGAGTTCCTGTGCAGGACTCTCAGCCCAGTGATGATGCTTCTTACCCAAGAGTACCTAGTTTTCCACACTGTGTTATAGTTGTATTATTGCTCTGTTTTATGGTTTAGGGTTTTTTCCCCCTCTGGAATGGGAAGGCTCCTTTCTTGCCACAAAACTCTTAGTTTTGCAGTCTCCTGCCAGCAGGTGACAGCATTCCCTGAAACTAAGCAAGCTAAGCAGAAACTCACCTCTACCCCAGACTTAACATCTATTTAAAGACATTTCTCATAATCTTTGTATCTTTTTATTGTGTGTGTTTTGTTTTGTTTTTTTTCTAAAAAGTTATTATTTTTGATACCTTTCCACCTGGTGAAGAAGAAAAGTTGAGAATAAGCTTCTAGAGGAAAGAGTTCTTCTTTCAGGAGGAAAATAAACCAGGCTGACTTCAATCAAGAGGTCTCCTCCATTCTGCCAGCTGTGAAACAGAGCAGAGCCTCTCCTACTCCACTCAGCAGCAGCGTGTCAGGCAGATCTGAAGGCTTTTCGGGCAGGATCTGGCACTGCAAACTCTCCAAGCAATTGTCCCTTGAGTAGCCAACGTCCTGGGTTGAGGTGACACATACCCCCAGGTTGCATGAACATGAAAGACTTGTTGCACACACATCCAGCAGAACGTCTGTCTGTGGGGGCAACAGATCCTGGAACTCTTAGCAGAGAGACTAACATGAATTTTGGCATCGAGAAAAGTCTACCAGGCAAAGAGCATTCAAGGTGCAAGGCAGTACTACATTCACCAGGTATTTTTATATTTATTATATGCTTATATAACCATTATTATATGCTCCCCTCCTTGTTCCAGACAGGCCTGCTCAGGAGATCTCTCAGCCCTTCCTTGGCAGCATTTACACTGCCAATAAGCTCTGAAGCAAAATCCCCGCATTTGGTACCAATTATCATTCTCCCTGACTAGCCCAGAGCCCCACACAGCAGGTCTGTTCTTCCTCACATGCGGGGTTTTGGGGCACTGCCATTTTCTCGATGCTATTTCTTTCGGGGAGCTGGCAGAGCTGCTTGTTGCAGAGAGACAGCCTGTAGGTCCTCAGGTTGCCCTGACCTGGCTGCTCAGGCCTTTACCGAGCGGCTTTTTCTCTGCCACTGCCTCTTCTGCCCGCCTTCCTACTCCTTCCATGCATGAGAAGATCTTCCATGCAGTCTAATGATCTCTCAGTGACCAGCTGAGCCTCCGTCCGTCTCCCCATCCCTCTCTGCCGCCGCTGACATGGCCTGCCCCCCCTGCCCCGCTGCCAGAGCGCTCCAGGGCTGCAGGTGCTCAAACACCAGCAGAAGAGCTGGAATGTGCAAACGGGGAGCAGTTAAGGTTTCCCCCTGCCCGGTTCCCTTTCATGTGTGCCAAGACAGCATACGCTGCTGTTTTTCTTGAGCCTGACAGCCACTTTCAGCCAAGTGATATTGCTGAGAATCTGGCTGCTTATTGCCTCAGCTGAAAACCCCAGAAAGCCATGGCCCTGAGGCCTCTTCGCCTGCAACCCGAGAGGGTTTGCCTCTTAGAGCATGAATAATTAAAAAGGTTCACAGATTTCTTTCTGTCTGGAAACTGGTCATAAATCGGGGCTTGTCCAGGGACTGCGAAAACCTGATCCTGGTGTTCTTGAAAGGAGAAGAACCTGTTTTTGTCTTTTAGCAGGGGAGCTGTTGGTGTCTTTTCTGTATGAGCTCGATCAGTGTTTGTCTTCGCTCCCCTGTCTCTGCATTTGGAGTTCCTTTGTGCTCTCCAATTATTTAAAACTGGCTGTCTGAAGTTCATTCTATGCACCAAGGACACGTATGCATGCATACACACTCTTGTCTACTGTACGGATGTCCTTTGACATTTTCCACTTAGAATGTTTTTCTGGCTATGAGTTACATTAACCAGGAAAGCTTAGTTTTGAAGGGCCTTATTTCTCTGACATTCTTCTGTAGATTCTTCCCTTGCGTGATGTTATTCCGAGGCACAACAATGATGATGATAAATAATGTCAGATTTTTGTCTCAGTATAAACTTCTCCCGTGTGCTTGGCCAGAAAAAGTAAATAAATAAGCTGGGCAGGCATTTTTGTTTTGATTTCAGCCAAGCTGAAATAAGGGATTCTTAAATGTTGTTTGCTAAGGGAAATGGAAATAGGCCAGATTGAAACAGGAATGGCTATGGCTATCTGTGTGATCTTAGCTTGTTTAATTGAACTATTTTAAAATGGTAGTTTGAGCTAAATCACTGAGTGCTGCCTCCTGCATACCGGGAGCTGGAGGAGCCTTGTGGATGTTTTTCTTTTCCCTTTTCCTGGCACCACTGGGGTTGCACCAGCTGGATATACTTACAAATAAATAATGGGGCAGGAAAGAAGGTATGGATTTACTCTGCGAGTAAGTAGAAGAGAGGTAATATGTTGGCTCTGTGCTCCAGTATTTTAATTTTGAGCTTTGACCCCATAAAAATTCTGTATCTCTGCTCTATGATGGATTATTGCAAGAAGGCAATATCTGGATCCAGCAACAAGCTAAATCAGTGTTTCTTGCTTGCATAGGCAGCAATAACACAAA